AATATGCACACCCACATCGAGAGAGAGGTTTATTAGAAATGTCGCACATGCATGAACAGCATACCAATTCTCTAAATAGCCTAAATTTGACAGTTGTCCACAAGGATGGAAGCGATAATCTCAGTGCCGCTTCTCTAGCACGTCCACTATCAGTACAACGCTGAACCCTCCACCAATTTAATGTCGACAGTTCAGGGGAAAAGTCGCCTCCTCATCGAGTGCCCCATTGAGAGGTGACGCCGTAAACGCGGTAACATACCTTCCAGTTTAGCTGAGTTGGAGGAGAAGTAAATTCTGTCGCAATTTGGACAATTTAATTCGAATTGGCAACAGATTAAAAGCTCCCGTTGAAAAAAGAATGAATATTGTGATACTAAGAGGAAGGGATTGGCTTCACAAACTCTTTCTCTTATTTTTTTTCTGGAAAAAAGAACACAGGTAATGGATTGAGATACTGAAAACCTAGACATGCTGGTGTTATTTTGGATTCTTTTATAAATTTGTTAAAGTAAAAGTCGCCTCTCTTTTTTTGGTCTCTGGAAAAAAAGTATATACATGCATAAGTTAAATTTTTCCCCACATTGAATTCAATGTGTCCACATAGATGCAGGGCGCGTAGGACCAGGTAAAAAATAGAAGGCAAGGAGGGAGTTGAACAGCTGTTTTTTCTTGTTATAATAGCCCCTGCCTCCTGTTCAACAGTTGATACGGCTGTATGGATCCAGGCCACCAAACATGTTAAATTAGAATGTATAACTTTTTTTAAATTGTGGGAACCATTATGTGAAAGCAGCGGCCTAGTCCCTGCCTAATGCGGTGCGTTTTTGTGAAGGCCCCTCGATTCCCCATAAGTCTTCAAAAGTTATCTGTGAATGCCTCTAAGAGTTGCGCTATCTTGAATGCCGGAAGTGCTGACAGCGGAGTGTCATCCCTACCTGCCAAGCCTAGCATGCTTGCTGATTCAACCCAGAGGATGTCAGGCACAGCCAAAGTGAGAGGAGTGTTTCCAACTGTCTACATTTCTACCAAACTAAGAATTGGTCTTTGGTCTTTTTGGCGGCGCTTTTCATCTTCACAAATCGCGGATTGTCAGAAGGAAGTCACCTCCAGATCTCTTGGATTGAAGTCGTGGAAGCACTGGCAAGTGTGACAGGCTAATGACCAGAAATTTGGGTTTTCGGAAATGCGGATCACAAACTAGAACTGCATTGGCCCTCTTTTTAAGTACACTATTGCATAAGGTAAATTTGAATTAACGATTGACATTCTGAGTCTGAAGCCTATTCTAGTAAGTTGTTTCATTTCTAACGAGGGTCCAAACTGAATAAACTTTATGAATCCTCTCACAAATTTCCCAATTTTACTGGGGAAACATAAAAGTGGCTGATTTACCTAAAAAGAACGTAAATGTCCATGTAAAGTCACAAAATTCATACCTGTCTTTTTCTCTGGCAAGATCAGATCTGCTGAGGCCCCAATGAATAAATACACACAGTCGTTAAAAGCCTTAAATACATTTGCGATCGCCTCAGGAGGGTGACTAATAGCCCCCATGCAAATATAAGAGGTGATTTCTACATTTATTTTAGTAGAAAAATAGTCGTATTAAGACGTGGGTGCATTTTTATTCCCCCTTGATGTATAGCCGTCTAAATTTCCATAACCAGACAGGCCAAATGACAATCCTGGTGTGTTTGTTAAATTTCTGGAATTCCACGACAAGAACAAAATCCCTTTGATCCTGTAGCAGCAGTATTGCCTGGTATTGGTGGATTTTCTTAACATAGTCAAAGGACAAAATTCTTTAAGGCTCTTCAGCATCCCATTCTGCTACTTCCGACGATACCACGTCAGAGGTGCTGAATGCTAGTTCGGTGTATCACTTAAATTCTGTACCATGGGATATTTCATGTCCTCATCCTTCTCCTCCTCTCTCTTCGTACTAACTGAAAAGGCGCGCCACCGATTAGGTGACGAATCATTTGTGGTGTGTGAGAATGAGACCTATGACTTTAGAAAGCGAAATAGTGGGGTGGAGAGAGCTGGTTTTGCTGTAAGTGATTAATTCAAGTGAACTCTGCGGGACTGTCAGTTTTCTTGAACCCTGAGTCGTTGGTGTTTACTGTTAAACTGGGAAGATTGCATCTTGTCATTTGACACAAAGCACGCTTCTTTTGCTATTGATGCATTTAATTTCAAACCCGTGTTATGAAAGAGCAATTCATAGGAGTAGATTTTGCAAAATTTGAGGTGCTCTACTCAACAATCTTTCAACTGACAAGAATAACCTTAGCCTACTGACAGCATTGAAGGAGACAAGGTCCCCAGTCAAGAATGGTAGAAGGGATGGGGACTTTAAGAAGTTCCATTAAAATAGGAACAATTCAATGTTTCCCTTTGAGAAAGACTAGTTAAAACATTGAGTGGTAGATTTATACCTGAAATTGCTGAAGAATGGCCATCTCACGAGACTAATGATGATTTGATTCATGGAAGGTACAGAAGGGTGAAGATAACCAGTGACTTCAAGTAATACAGCGATACGTGTATCATTGTTTCTTCTCGTAAAAACCCTTAAACAACAGAATTTTAGACCACTTATCTGTTAAAAGTGCCTATTTTCAGTACTATTAGAGCGGTCTCATTTCTTCTAAAGCGGCTAGTTAAGTTGGATTCTACATGACTAGTCCGGTAACAAAATTTGACTTGCCTTAAATAGCTTCATTCCATAAACAAGTGAATGATTTTACTTTAGTAAATGTCATGTGGTTAAATTGTTTTTGCAAAGCGACCTTGATTTTTATCAAAGAAATTCTAGAATAGGAATACTTGTCTATCACACAAAGAAATCAGGACATAACATCTACATGGATGCATGTTTGGAGTTATAAAGGTAGTTTAAAATCGCTCCTATCTACGAGTTGCCACCACTTATCCTACTTATCCTTACGTGGCACCAGTAATAAATGGAGCATATACATCTTGGAACCAAAGCGAGGAGGAGACACACCACTCCAAAGGGAGACATGAGTAACGCCAGTCATACTCAAATCAGACTAAGACATAACTCTATGACAAGGCTGTGACTTTTGCTTTTAAAGGTAATAATGAGGATTTGTTTAACACATTCATAACTAAAAATGCGTGAAGTTAAGCTACCAGGCTCATAACTGTCAGTTCTCCTGATTTAAGAACCATCACACCACAAGCAAAACATTTCCGAATTAATTTCTTCCAGAAAGTAATCTCCTTCATCGAATTTCTATAAATCCTGCAACAAGTGTAGTTTACTGTTCAAATTGTGACAATCAGAATCTACTTGTAGTTCGCACATGATTCAGAACACGGTCGAGTTGATTTTGTTGAAATCAGTAATAGAGAAAGTGTTTTAAACTAGCCTAAGTGACCCAAATTAAGGTTGAACAATGAGAATTAAGCTCATACCAATCCAAAAAGCAGTTAACACTCACTTAGGGGAGAGAGATTTGAAGGTATTTGTAAAATCCTCAGAAGAGAGGGAGGTTCGAGAAAACCCAAGAGGTAGGGCACGCGATTGGCGGCTAAGCAGGTGAGCGATGGGAGGCGGAGGTCGGCAATAGTGACGTTGGGTGATGCAGCCCACCCACAACATCAACAATAACAACTACAATAACAGCAACGATAACAACAGCAGCGGCAGTCTTTGCGTATGCGTGTAGCGCGCACTTGCTTCGGCCAATCGCGCGGATTTGAGCTTTATTGCACGCTCGAGGGGTCAAGCCACCCGATTGGTCGGAAATGCCTCGAGTGGTGGGTGTGCATGTATGCCTGCGTGCGTACGTGGGCGTTGGCGTGCGCACGTGTTTGTGTGTAGGTTCTACGTTCAAGTCGTCGCCCCGGTTTCCACTACACCAAGCCGATGAGAAGTGAGAAATCGGTTGGCTAAATGTCGGTGGGTAGATAGATGGCCGCCTCAAGCAAAGTACCTGTAGATAGAAGATGTCCCGTCAATGAGTGCTAGGAGGTATCAGTGATCTAATGCTTTAATGTACAAGGTGAATCAAGACCCAAAAGTAATTCCAGGTACTTCTGATTGTCTCTTGGACAAGGTAAGGAGTAAATTGCTTGGCTAGTGAATCGGTCTGTGTCACTAGTTTTTATCACAGATGTTCTGCAGTTTTTTTCATCCCTCCTTTACCGCTTTATCTGGTGTCTTGCACCACCTAGAAAATGAATTAAAAACTAAGCGATCTCGTCACTTCACACTTTTATGGAAAACTAATTTTGGTTTCGAATCAAGAGTTCTCGGAATCACAACCCACGTAACTTGTCACTTGGGTCTCGCGGTCTTATTCTAGGGCCTAGTTTCAATATTAACGTGCCTACATTAAAAGGCTAGTCTCAGACTGCGAATAGCTATTTATGACTTTTGTTGGGAAAAACGATTTCGGGTGGATTCCAACAGGAGGTTTGGTTTGGTGTTGCGTTTGATGTACTTACAAATCGGTTGATTGCACTAAATCAGTTTGTACTGCAACATTTGGAAATGACTATTGACTGCATATTTTCAGCCTCAGCTTTTGGGTCAAATACAAGAAAGTCGGATGAATTTCTCGTCTGAAAGTTTGCTCTCGACGCGAAGTTGGTTCAGCTGATAAAATTGGATAAGTAAGAATTTTCTAATCATTAGAATTCATTTTTAAAATGCTTTAAGCCCTTTTGGGTTAACAAATAAAAGACCACTTTGTAAACATAAAATGCAATTGACTTGAGGTTGACTTGTTGCATCCAGACCAAAAAACTGCGGTCTAGGTTGAGGCTGTATGCAGAGGTGGGACGATCAGACAAGGAATTCTGTGTCGTCACTAAACTGAATTTATTCCTTTGGCTACTACTTTCACAAACAATAAATCAGGGGCCCTTTCCACTTTGTACTAGTCGCGATTGTTGCAGCAGCATTTGTTAACAAATTTGGAATTTTCACAGCAGTGCTACTGAATACCCTGGTGGGAATTCAGCTCCTCGTGCCTAGGAAGGCAGGAAAGTAATTTCTTCCAGAAATTCGAATTTGTGTCCCAATACAATAATAGTGATTAAGTGAATTGCGTGACATTGAATACGCGCTGATGAGTTGTTTAAGCATTTGAAAAGTAACCTTGAAGGACGATTACAGGTCAACCTATAATCGACAAACACCCTGCTATATATAGCAAGTGTTAATCTTTGGCAAACCTGTAACCTCCGCCAGGTTTGTGAGGTTTGTAAAAGATTCTTATAAAAAATTATGGTTGTATGGGTTTTTAATTTACTCGGAGTTTACATGGAAAATTATTTTTTCCCATGTCATACGCACTGGCGGTAAAATAGACTACAAATAACACCAAAAGCAAACCTAAAAAAGGGCTGTGCGGTAGATCTGAAAAAAAGAAAGTAAAAGTTTGCTTAAAAAGAACCATGAGTTAGTTTAAACCCCCTAGCAAAGAAGAAGAATTTATTTACGCCTTAACAAAACACACGAAGTATTGAGAGAAGCGACTTTTTCCATGTCAACTAATAATGTTTATACAATAATGCTTCTTCAGGACGTCGATTGGGATGTTCGAAACGAAAAATCATATAGCAAATGTGTATATTTTAAGAGGGGAATAATATTACTATGTAGATTGAATTTTCAGGGGTCTTATAGCAAAAACTGTGAAAAGTTAAGGTAACATTTCATGAAACAATATAAAATGCAAAGTAGTACAGTCATTGATGCCTATCTGTGCGAAAGTAAACCGAGTAAATAGAGGACGTTGCTGAATCGAACTTACGAAAAGACTGTCTTCAACACCTATTTAGAAATGATGGAGGAATGTTTTAGCGTCTATTCAATGCCACCTGCAAAAAGAGAATAAGATGGGTTATGTATTAATATTTAGCACTTTAGTCAATACTTTTAAAGTGGTTCAGAGTCAGAATTCTGTCGCTACACTTTATTTCAGGTATTTTCCAGGCTAATGCAATTAACAGGCCTCACATGCCTGGATAATTACTCTCAATATCTCCGGTACTCAAACAAGGATTTTTTTGCAATGGCTGCCAGAGATTCTGCTAAAACCAAACATTGAGAGAAAAACCTATCGAATAAGGGAACTTAGGCTCCAAGTGCCCCAAAAGTCTACATTAATGCCACATACACCCAAATTTTTATGCACAATCATTTTACTCTTATAATCATAATTCACAAGCTTTTGGGCAAGAAAAAGTGCTAAAATGTGCATTCAGTGATAATAAGTTGCGCACAATCAACTTTATACATTATACGCTCCTTACAAGATTTTAATGTACTATTCTACATGCGGACTTTTCATAATGAAGCATGTCACAGCACAGCCCTATACGACTGAACATCCATTTTTATTTTGCAAATAACATAAAAACAATAAGCATTCCCAAAACTTCGCAGAATCATGAAATGCTTACTCGCCACTAAGAGTGCCTTTATTATTATTATTACAGCCTAATGTTGTCATCACAATCCAGTGACGGAAATCAAATTTTTTTAAAAAAAAACCAAAGTCAAAAATTCACAAAGCATTAGCATTTAAAAGCTCGCAAAATGGAAAAATTTAATTGCTTTTTTTCTTAAATAAGATCTGGATTTAAGAAACGCATCTATAATTTTGCAAATACACTTTTAAAGAAGGTAAGACATAAAACTTTGCAGCAAAATACGAAAATTATCCCTTGACCATGTTACCCATTGCATTTAAATACAGCTTTTGCAAACCCTAATGTACAAAGCACGAAATCGCAAGTACACTTTTAAAAAACCGCAACCATGCACTCAAGGTCAAAGCATGGCGTGCTTCAGACAAATTTGATACGGAATTACCTTCATTAAGGCTAGGTATTTGTCTTTCAAATTAAAATTAACATTGACTTTACAAATATAATATTTTTAGTTTCAAAAATTGAGACAAAAACAATTTCACAGTTGTAAATTGTTTGTCTACTCAGCATAAATGGGAAATGAATGAGAAATTTAATAGTTAGCAAAACGAAATGCAAAGCAAAAAGTTTAAGAATAAATACACAAATAGGATAATCTCAATGTGTTTTGGTACTAGTAAATTTGACTGAAATTAAACTTCTTTGGCGGAACTTTAGGCTATTCAGGTCGTGCTTCCATTCGGCTATACAGACCTTCAAAGGCTTTGTGGTTTTTGGACCTTCCCGTATTATGGTGTTTTGGGTCTTTTCTGAAGTCACCAATTATAACACTAATACACATAAGTGGTAGGGGGCTAGCAGCATAACTAGAAAGCCATGCCGCAGAATGGAATTTTAACCAGCGAAAACCTATACGTTTGCTCAATTCAACAAAATGTTAAGTTACAGCATAGCACCTTTCTCTTTTTAAGAACTGTTTTTAGGTAGTCCTTGACCGTCACCCGCGCCAACTATCAAAGCACAGTGATTGCAGCGTCTTAAGAACCACTCTCAAACCGTCAATATGTAGCGTCCCGAGACTCCCTGAAGACGAAGGAAGACACATTACTCGAGCAGAATATATATATTCAGCACGGAGAAGGTGTCTGGGCTATTGGCATGGCCCAAAAGGCCAGCCCACCCAGCGAGGTACAAGGGGGCTAATTCGAAGTACAAAAGTGGCGCCTCAC